GAGTTCTTATCAATTCTTTACAGCCTAATATCAGTATCCACATTCTCCATACATTCTCTATACATTTCCTTTGGTACTGACAAGGAGAACTGTTTAACCCTTTAACTCCCATGAGTGACCAAGACAGAATTTCTCCTTACTATATCCACACAGTATCAACCAGATAAGTGATGAGAATAAAGAAAAATATTAATTGGGTTATAATTAGTTGATCCAATACTAAATTCTCTGAACTAACATAGAAAGAATTGTATAGTTGACAGTGAGGAAAATTATAAATTTGATCTGGGAGTTTAACAATCAAAGTTCCCTGCATGTAAGTTGGTGATCATTTCCCTTATGCAACACGATCTCAATTAATGATTCATCAGTGTAACTGTAAGGAGAAATTAGATGCTGGTCACTCAGGGCATAATGGGTTAACCAAATCAATTTAATTTTTTGACAATGATATTAAAGGTAATATATGATGTGACTTTTTTTTACAGGATCCTGTTGTTCGCACATTGTGTCTATCAGAGACATGCATGATAGAAAGAGACCCTGCAACATACATTATTGTGAGCTGTCATCCCCTCTCTGATGTAAGTTTCAAATGTAAAGTTTCTTCTCACTTCTGTGATCTGGGCACAAATTCTTCCAACAAGTGATGTACATGTATAATTGTCAATTTTTCTTTTATTTCAGGTATTTGCCATCATCCGTTCAAATGATAATCCTCAAATGTTCACCATAGAGTTTGTCCGTGGAGCAACAAAGAGGTTCATGTCAACTGAAAGGTAACCAGTCAAGAATATGTACAGTTGTTGTACATGTATGTAACTCTTTACTTCTAAGATCTTAACACTCCTTATCATTATTATTGGAAACTAGAATGAAAGAATTTGAACTTGTTAAATTTTCTTGCAGGGACTCACTGTTGGCCAGTCTGCTTGATGGAGTTCGTGCCAGCGGTAACAGGGATGTCTGTGTCAAAATGAAACCTACCATTAGAGGTTTGCCACCATTCATAACATACATGTATAAGTTGTACCAAAATTGTTCTCATGTGTAATGGTCCACTTGTGTGTTTTGGTGTGTAAATTTCTTTGAAAGGAAATGCATGCATGTGTGTAATCAAACAAAAACATTAGCTACAGAACATGCATGCAATTCCTACTTACTACAGATGCAAAACATGCATTCTGCTCATCAGCACGTGCAAATACTCGTAACAAAAAGTGCACACAAGAGAGAATAAATTGTGTGCACATTTATATGACACAGTCAATCTGTTGGAACTCTAGAAATGTGCACTGAGATTAAGTGCACACATAACAAGACAGGAATATTTCTGACACTCCAAATTCCAATTTAATCTGGAAACAGAAGACAAGAAGAGTCACCTAGTGGAATGTCCATTGTTAAATTCCCATTTATTTATTTTTTTACTCATTTCTTTATTCTAAATTAATATAAATACATGAAAATTTGTAGAATATTTATTATGAACTCTTCTGTTGTTCTTCTGTTGTGCAGGTTTTAGATTTGCACCAGTCATTTCAACAGTGGATGAGGAAGTTGAAAGTCAACATCTCAGATTTCTTGCAGTTCCTCCAGGTACATGCTGTCTTGTTTGCGAACAAAAAAGTTATCCAAAACTGAGACGATATCATTCACTACCACTGATTTTAGATCAACTGCTGCCTAGAAAGTAAAAAAAATGGCTTTGGTGCAAAATAAGCACTTATAAAATAAATTGGAGCTAACTATTAATTTTATCCCTAAAGAATTCTTTTTCAATGTGTACATATGGAATCATGTAAGGTTTCCCAACAGGAAAACTCTCACATTTTCCATGTACTGTTCAGTGTCTTTTCCTGTGAATGTAACCTGACTTCCTCTCCTGACAAAATGTCTTTTTAATTTTTACTGATATTTTATCATGATAATCTTTTGTTAGCAAAATCTGTAATTAGTTTCAACTTCCCTCTTTTCTTTCATACAGCCACATTTGCAGAAGCAGTTGAAAGATTTAATAGCAATATTCCTTACAATGGATTGCTCCATGCAGTCACACAAGATGTAAGTACAGTGGGTCACTCAGTGTCACCTTTTGTCTCAGTCTCCTGTTTTGTGACCAACTCCTTTTTTTTTCCTAGTCTTAAACTGTCAATTGTTCGTATTCTCTGCAGGGGCTGTTTGCTGAAAACAAGGAAAAGCTCATAACAGGAGCAATCACTGCACTTTTAGCAATGGAAGGTGAGACACCCTCCCATATGATGTGTATATTGTATTAAAAAAATTTTTTTCAATGAATGCTTATTATTTACTTAATCAAAATATAAAAAATTCCACTCAGTCCTTTCACCATTACATACCCTCTAAAGGTTACACTGTTTCAATGAACATGTTTTTACTAGGTGACCAGAACACCATCTCTGTAGAAGATTTAGAAGGACAGTTTCAAGCCATTCGCAGACTTGTTGCTTCAAAAGCAGGATTTGAAGCCTTCACAACTCTACCCAAGTAAGATTATCTTATCAACTTGTTTTGATATATTTTGGAACTTCTGAAACATATGTATTTTCTGAGAAATGAAGGAGCTAAAGAACCCTCACATGTACCGCAGCATTACATGCACTTGATGCAATTGCAAATCCCAAGCACTGCGCACCTGCAATGTACTAACTTACATGTCACTACATGCGCATAAGTGTGAGAAAAATGCTTGCTTGTTAGTATAAAATGGATGCAAAATAACATGAAATCAATCAACTCGAGCATTAAATTGCATGCACTGAGACAAAAGTGGGTGTAACATGACACAGAGATTGGATTCAAAATTCTTTGTACTGTACAAAGCTGAGTTGTTTGACTTTCTGTGCAGAAGTAGGGAAGAAACAATGATTTCAAACTGCATCAATTATGCTCCTATTTAAAATTTATGATCAACTTTGTATGATTATAAAGACATTGCATGTAGTAACTGTTATTCATGCACAGATAAATTCCAGTTATTATCAATGATGGTTGTACTTTACGGCATTTAATGTGTAACAGGTTCAGAGACAAGCTTGGAGTGAAGGTTGTAAAAGCTCTGAAAAGGAATGATGATGGAGTCACACATGCTGCTATTGATATGCTCTGTGCTTTGATGCAGGTAAGAGCAGATTAAGGTGTTATTTCCTACTGGCTGGGTTAAAAAAATAAGAGGAAAATGTCTGGGTCATGTGAATTTTTGGCAGGAAAATGTTTTTGTTCCATCTGCGATAACTATATAATTCTTTGAATTTATATTTTTTCAGCCCATGCACGACAATTATGACCTTAGACAGGAACAGATGAATAAGTCTTCACTTGTGTCATCCAGGAAATTCCTTGGCACGTTGTTAGATATCTTCACTACACATGTAGTAAGTGCCATGAACTTTTCATCAGCCTCTACATGAGAATGCTATGAATTTCTGCCAATTGCCATTCAGTCAAGCTGCTACCATGTCCAACCTCTATCCCTTATTTCCCCTTCTACAGTTCTCTTTCAAGTTTTCTTGGGGTAGAATCTCTTTCATTGGCCATCAGGAGTCCATTGCAGGGTGACTCTGGGCATTTCTGATGGCAGCATTCAGAGCACATGCCCCTCATCCATCAGACTCTGCATGAACTTTTATCACAACTGTGATTTAACATTGAATTCTTTCCACGATAAACAGTTACTCTTCAAATTTCAGTGCATTAAAAACCTTCTCCCAATGTAGTTGTCTTGATAAAGCCTTCATATTGTCAAAAATGATAGCATTCTGACTCTTATTGTGTTATTTCTTTTTCAGAATAGAAGCACAGGGGCTCTTGTTGTTAGTTCACTTCTGGACTTCCTAACATTTGCATTGTGTCCACCATACAGGTACATCTAACATTTTTCAATCAGTTGCTACAAGCAGTATTTCTGCCCATAATCACATAACCATTACATTTTTCTCAAATATGATTGATGCCTCAGGTGGTTTTTTCCCCTAATAATTGTGTAAAGTTGTAATTGGACAGTTAGCTGTAATTGAACACCTGTAATCAGACTATTAAAGCATCCAATTAGACAGTGGCCACCCAGCTAAATCCACTAATCACAAAATTTATTACAATAATCATGGCAACAGCCACTTCCCTACAAAACTGGGAAATTTTTAAAATGGTGAAATTATTAATTTTACTCTAGGCAATGTTTTGGATATTAATGAATACTGAAAGCCCTTTCTCAAAGGAATGTTATTGTTTGTTTTCAGATATTGTTAGTAGTGGTTAATGTTGTGGACTTAATGTTGTCCAATTCGGTCTGTAATCATACTCTTTATTAACAAATCCGACTCCTGCTTCACAGTTGTCACATTTTGTAATCACTGGTACAGTGTATGATTTCAGACCAAATTGGACTCTTCTTGGTCCTATTATCATTAATAATAGATTAATCTCCCAACTGTTTTTACTTGTCCTTTTAGCGAAACCACAGAAGGAACACAGTTTGACACTTTGCTGGAAATGGTTGCAGATCTTGGGCGAAATATTTTTAGGCTTTTTCAGGTATATTCATGCAGAGTGTAATTCATTCAATATTGGGGGAGATTATCACAATGATAATCTTGTCTCATGGCTAAAATAGAGAGTTTTCGACTGTGGTATACACATACATGTACCTCACAAATTTTGATCAGTGAACAATGATGGTGCTATCTCAGACCAACTAAATGTTCTTAACACTATTTCAATCCTTTAGCATCCATCCATGGCAATTGTCAAAGGAGCTGGCATGGTTATGAAAGCTGTCATTGAGGTAAGTGTTGAGTATAAGATTGATTTGAAGACACTGTTCCTCTAAATGTAGCCTTGCTCACATTTTACATCTTAAAAGAACTTTGTTTTACAAATTTGTTGTTTAAGATGGAAACATGCAGTTACCCACTCTGTGACTCTAAGAACTTATTGGCATGTAAATTATTACAGTATGATTTAAATGGATTTAATTGTTCAGAAAGTCATTAAGAAGGATGGGGTAAGACTGTCCCCTTCAACTATTTAAGTTTAAAGTTTTTGTAACATGTCTGCTACAGGAAGGAGATTCAGAGATTGCAGCGAAAATGCAGGATCTTGCATTGGCAGAGGGAGCCCTTCCTAGGCATCTTCACACAGCCATGTACACACAAAGTACAGACAGTAGGCTACTCACAAACAGGTAAGATATGCAAAGAAAAATGTGATTCATTTGTCTCAAGAGTTGGACAATGATTAAACCCGGGTCCTCCACAAGGAATCTGACCTCTGACTTTCCATTCCCATGGTGAGATGCTCTTCTACTGAGCTAGCTTAAGAGAACTCCTTGTTGAGCCTGGCCATGTTAGTACATACACCACAGGTTTATATGAGACAAGTGTCCTACAAATAGTTAAGATTGGCAATTTGGCAGTTTATGGCCTACAATAGTGCACCAATGAATTTTCTGTAGCACTGCGACAGTGCTTCAGAGGGAAAAAATTGGAAGGTCTGATGCTTAGATCCTTTGAAGGAACTCAGATTAAGACTAAGTATAAAGTTAATTATCACTGTGTTTGAATTTTAGAAACAACTTATGCTCAATGTTACCTTTGTTGCAAACAGTGCAAACCTGTAATATTTGACAGGGCAATCTTGCGCATGATTCTTCTGTTGAAACTGCAGGGATATCAGAACAGGTGTTTTCGTGCTGGAATTCTTTAACCAATAGATACACTAGCCCCGTGCTCCTGTAACATTTGCCCATACATTTGCCTGTTCATGCTGTTTGTGTTTAAAATAAAATTTCACTTTCAGAAATTCTTGATAATAAAATTTAGTTGAATCATTTGAAAGTTCTTAGAACTCTAAACTACCATGTGTTGTTTCCAAAATATTGTGTTAAATTTGACAAAAAAACTATTTCTATCAAAACAAACTTACTATAACTTAATTTGAAGACGCATGTAAGCATAAATCACATATAACAGATATAACATTGTTTAAATAACATTACTTGTCATAAATACATGTTTGTCCTTCGAAAGACACTCACTTTGTATGCCTGCAGAAGTAAGTTGGGTAGGAAATACTTGTATAATTATCTACTGTGCATGTGATATGCATTTTGCCTTGTGCCTTGTGGTTTTTACAATTAAAAGTTTGTGGTTTGCAGTTGTGTTATCAGTTTTTAATCTTAGAATTGGATCTTTCCTTTACTATGCATTTTGAAATTTAAACTAGTATAGTTATAATGTATGAAAAACACAGTCTTAGATCAAATGTACTGTTTATGTCTTTAGCTCTATGATCAGCCTTAATTAACTTATAGGGAGAATTTCTTCTCCTGGAAAAGAAGTTAGTTCAGTGTAGGTAACTCCCCAACATATAATTTAGTTTTACTCTTGGGAAGAGAATGAGATTGTGAGAGTGATGTACATGTATCTTGTCCAAGAAAGTAACTCAGCTGTCATTATCAGAAACTGCACTCAGTTCTCTAAACATGACTCAGAGGCAGAGGCATCTCATGCAAAAAATTAACTCAATGATAACAATGATGCTGTATAATTTTTATCCAGCACCAATGTTATTGTTAAGTTGATTTTTTTTGTTGTTGAGAATTTCCTCTTGTTGAAGTGACTTGAAAACGAAAAAATGTCGTTTCAACTCCTTTTCCTAATCCCATGACCCCATAGATTGAAATTATTCTTAAAATAATAAAACAGGAATGCCGCAAGGAACTGCGCTCAAGCAATTCAATTAGATTAGTGGTCCCGACCGAAAACAGCACTTTCCAAGATAACGCATCGAAGCTATTTAACAATTTACCAGAACCTATTAGAAACTGTAAAGATTATAGAACCTTTTTAAGAATTTCAAGGAATTTTTTATGTAATAGATTACAGAATGATTAGTTAGTTTTACTTTAATTTCTATTCTGTTAATCCTAATTCTACTTTTAATTGCATATTGCATAATTTGTGAAATAACTTAATTTGATTTTTTTTATTTTGATTGTAATTGACGCATTTTAACAGGAAAGAGCTACCTGGTGGATCCGTTAATTAACCATTATTATTATCACTATTATTATTATTATTATTATTATTATTATTATTATTAGTGTCCGATTTGTCCATATGCAATGTAATATCAACCCTGAATCAAATGGTAAGGTCACAAGAATAAAGAAAATAATCATGAACCGAAGAAGCTCTTGATTGTCAGACAAATTCTCCTTGTCAGCACCTTAGGAAATGTATAGAGAACAGTATGGAGAATATACATACTGATGTTAGGGTGTAAAGATATCAAACATTACCAGTATTACTCATATTAGTTTATCTTGTGCTATGCTCTTCTTTTGATGATGTATTGGGGTTTTTTCACCTACAGGCAGCTCAGCAGACACTTGGTAACCCTGTGGGTGACTGGCCATCCCACTGCGATGGGTCTTCTGAAGAGGATCATGGTAAGAGTTTTCTTTATAGTGTAAATAGTCTGGGAACAGTATCTCATTGGCCATATGGCAAAAGCTGGGACTAACCCGCAGAGCATACGTGAAGTTTGAGGAGCGAGTGCACAGTATTTTCTTGGTGAAAATTATAGCTGGCATCATCTTTGATTTTTACAGCAATGGAAGGCTGGGGAGAGTAATAATTTTGTACCAAGTGGCTGAGTGACAGTCTAAAGGAAGGAGAGGGGAGGGGCGGGGTAATAGGAATCGTCTTTCCCCTACCCCCATCGTCCACTCCAACTATAAATCAAACATGGCTAACCGTATAAACGATCATGAACTAGTGACGCTAACTTGCCCAAACAAGACGCAGGCTTTAACAGGATCATCTGTCCGCATGCGTAAATTATCTTTAAGTCTCATTTCTCCCAAGATTAGTCTTAGTCCACGAGTAAATGTACATTGTATGTAAACTGTACTTCATGTACAGAAAGCCTTAGTGACGAGCTTCTGATGTGATCTTACTTATGTCCATTTCAGCCTGCGGGTCTAATGAACTACCTTGAATCAGAGGAGAAGGTTAGATTTATTTTGTTGAATATTGCATATGTTTAGTTTTAGATATTTGTTGTGTATGTAAATCATCATTGAAGATGTTGTGGTATGAGTTCTTTTTTCACCCCTTCAACTCCAAACCCTCGTCAATATTGTTTGTAATTCCCCTTACTATCTGCTATACAATTCTTATGATACGAGTTTGAAGAATTTGGCTTTGAATCAACTAATAATCCCCCAGTTGATATGTTTTTAAATCTCATCACTTGTTTACTTGACGCTGTGCTAATAGTGTGATGAGAGATCCTGTTTTGGTTACTCAAGGAATTGAAAAGGTTAAGAGAGGGAGTGGGAATGAATGAAATTTGCAACTTAATGTCGCCATCATCTTTTTAAATACAGGTCCCAGAAGTGGAGTTAGATAAACTGCATGTCAGAGACAACGTCAAACTTGCTGAGGTAAACATAAAAATGTTTTTTTACCAAGACAATATACCTATGTTTGAGATCTGACTTTGTTTGAGCTCTGATGTGAAGGCAAAAAAGATGTCATTATTTTTTCATAAGTGGGCGACAAAGCAAAGAACAGCAAAAGAAAGAAAGTCTGAGACAGTCAAAATTGATGTTCTGCGACTGTGTTACAGATTTTTTTTGCTGTGTGCTCAGCCATATACTACAGTAGGTTTATGTGACATTTTCGTGCGTTTGAAATTTTTTTGTTTGGAATTGCTGTTTAAGGATTCTTCCAAACCCAAGAAACATCAGTACCTTGTGCAACTGGATGTTGTGCTCACTCACTGGAGGACGAAAATGGGACTGAAATCAAAAGAAGTAAGATTTAAATCCCGATTTCTTATGGAACTTTCCTAAGTTCTGACAGTTACTGTTGCCTGGTTAGATCCTTGTAATTAAATATAAAGAGCTTAGGTGAAAGAGTGAAGGGGAATTGTTATAAAAGCCTGTTAAAAGGCTCGTTTCTGGGTTTCACCTTACGGCACAGCCTCCTATTACAACATCAGGAGCCACCCATGGTAAAAGTTATCAAAACCATTGCAATGAAGTGGGTGCTTGATGGCAGCAGAAGGGTAGAGCTCATTGATAATGGAGTGGCTGACAAAATTGCCTATAACAAGAGTGGTGGAGATGTACTCCACTGCACTGCAAGGGAAGGAGATGGTAGCCTGAGATGTATCAGCATCTGTAACCTGAGCAATTTTTGCAGTCATCCACTTTTACCAAGGCCATCCTAGCGTGTGTAGCTAGCGGCAAGGCAACAGAAGGAATGTGTACTTAAAGACCTTCTAAATTCTTGTTTCCACCTATTTGCCAATTTTCGTCAAGAACCTAACAACTGCCACCTGCACAGGCCAAGGCCATCTTTATTCCCACCTCTTTTCTCTACAACTTAGTCTTCATAGCTGAATACAGCAATGTGGAACTTGTGCTGTTCTTATGACATAGTTCTACTCTACAAGCTTGAGTAATATTTACATAACATTTCTCTGTAGACAAACCAGAAACCTGTCATTTTAAGGAAAAGAAGGCAAAGAATCAAGAGTGATGCAAACTGGGAACTCTTCTATTACAAGTAAGCGAGGAGAACCTTAATCCTTTAACTCCCAAGATCTCATTGGTAATTCTCCTTACTGTCTCCCATACAGTTCTTGTGGTGTTAGTCTAGAGAATTTGGTATTGGATCAACTTATAATCCCCTAATTGATATTTATTTTAATTCTCATCACTTGTCTGCTTGATATTGTATCGATACTGTTAGGAGTAATTCTGTCTTGGTCACTCATGGGAGTGAAAGGGTTGATAGGTTTTCACTGAGTCCAACATTGACTGTGTTAAGAACAATAAGGAAAACCGTGCAAACTGCTTCTAAGTAACGACACAAAGGTCGCAATAATTCAAGTCAACAGTTACATTACAGCGAGTTGTTTTCCTTCGCATTGTGAGAGCAAGCTGGAAATGAAAGATGGCTGATACTGGAAAGCTCACGAGTGGAATATTTGTTACGAAACAGAGAATAGTGACACCAAGTGCACATAAGAGTATTTTCTTCGTTGGTTCAGAAAAGATATATGTGATAGTGATCGTAGTCATGTAACCTTTTCAAAATACGCAAATTAGACTCTATGGAAAAAACACACAAAACACACATTATGAACCCTGCTTTTTTTTTTTCCCATAGATTCAATCAAGATCATTCCATGCCTAATCTTATCTGGAACTACAAGGTGAGTTCTGAACATAAAGAAGTTGTAGTTTCTGCAACCGATTAGTTCATTATTCTGAAAGCTTGTCTGACTGAATTGTAATTGTTGTTGTTGTTTAAAAATGTTTCTTTCAGACGAGGGAAGAACTGAGAGAAGCCTTAGAGGCAGAGATGAGAGCATTTGCCGTGGACAAGGTGCAGCATTCATTTTTTTGTAATTGAATTGAAGTACTCTTGTGCATGCAGATTCCGCTTAAGAGGTTGCACACCCAGTTTGCAACAGCTGGAATATGTGCGGCTTACGAAGTGAGCATCCTGTTTTTTATGAACCTGTAATATTTGACGGTGCATGCCTCTGATGGTTGTACCGTTGAAACTGCAGGGAAATTAAAACAGGAGTTTTTCGTGCGGGAAATCTGTACCCAATAGATTAATTCGCCCCGTGCTCCTGGGACACGTTGGAATAAAGTTAGGGACACTTTGTAGAGCTTCGTAAACGTTAGTACATAAGTACTTCACAGTAGCTTTCATTTGAACGGTTCCACACTTGGACACTATTTACAGACTTAAAAGCCACATGTAGAACCACCTTGTAAGTTAGTTATGCTCTTAGCTGGAGAGCAACGATTTCCTTTCTCCACCCCGTCCTGTCTTGGGTGAATCTTTCAAGTGTAGAAGAGGGGTGGCCTTACTTCTTCATCTCGGCCTGAAAGTCTCGCTTCCAAGTGTTTTTTTTTTTTTGGACCTTCTTTTTTTCCGTTTGCAGTGGGAGCCTAGTAACACACCCACCTTAAAGTACGTGATAAAATGTTCCGCATGAAAGTAGTACTTATTCGCTTTCACTTCAATGGTCACACGCACTGGGATTTTATTCACAGACTGAAGAGTTAGAGCCACCTTTTGCCGCATGATAAACATTACCCAATGAGAGAACTCTTAAGGAATTTTCATTTGATTAGTCATCCGCCTACCCCTTGTACAGCAATAAGGTCATATTTTTCTAATCTCTCAATGACTCAGGATCTTGGATCAAATCATGTCATCTCTTGGAATCACCAAGAATTTGAAGTGAGATACGAGTGTCTTAGTGAAGAGATAAAAATTGGAGACTACTACCTCAGGCTGCTTCTCGAGGAAGAGGAAGGAAAAACTATGATTCACAATTCGTGAGTACTACACTGATACATGGTTAAGTCTTAAAAGTCTAGTTACTCTTGACTGCTAGAGGTTCTCCCTGTTTCTGTAACATAGAGTTACAAGGAGGTTTTCAGGTTACCCTGTAAGTGTTCGAGAGGTTTTTGGGCTTGAAAGATCGCTGTTACCTAGCTGTACTCTTGATTGGAAACAGGCACTCGTAGAGTGAAGTGTTTTGCTCAAGAATAAAACGCAGTCGCCCAGCCAGAGCGCAAATCTGGAACTTTCAAACTAGACTCAGTTACAGTGACAACTAGGCTACTCTCCAGCACCTTAACATTGTGTGTGTGTGTGGCACATTGTTTGCTCTAAGCTAAAGCATTTCCTCTTTTCCCTTTTGTTGTTTTCAGGTTGGAGTTCTTCAATGATCTTTACCACAGATTTCTTCTCACTCTGAAGCCTGCCATGAAAGCCATGTGCTTACAAGTAAGTAACAATCATTCTGGTGAAAGGAACGCTTCTCGTATAATCGAATAATTTATTAGCGTGTCTTCCTTTCTTTACCTTGTGAACTCAAATAGCAAACCCTTACCGTGTACCAAAATGCAAGAGGTCAAGTTAAGACTGTTTTCTTTTGTTTTTGTGGCTGAGTTTAATTGTGATCTGCGCACACGTGTGAGACGGCAGGAAATTGAAGAATAACCAGGGAAAAGAAGGTTTCGAGATTTTTAGTTGCACTATCTTATCTTTGCTTCAACGATGTGTTCCGGAATAAATTGTAACACATCAGACTTGTATGTTTATAGTCAACTGAAATAGCAATGAAAATGAAAGCTAAACCATTGTATATTCGCTAATGGGATGGCATGATGTTATACTTATAAATGTGTCTACCAATCCCTTGCCTTGCCTGCTTTCGTCGCGATTTAGACTTGCTTCCATAATTCTTTCTTTTTGATCCCTTTTCAGAAGGTTTTTAGCGTCTTATTTAACTTGCTAGGGTAATCGAATTTCGTGCCTCTCCAAGTTGAGGCAAATATCTTTGTAACTACGCAAAACAATGTAAATTATATGCTCGAAGTTCAGATAAAAGTGGTTCAGACTTTGGTAAGAGTTGTCGTCTTCCTAGATAACTACAACTAGACAATAACAATGCACAGTAAAGCAAAAGCAGCCCATTAGTGAATTACATTTGAAGCTGAGTTGAAAATTTATTTAATTGTTGTGACTAAATTTGTTTCTCGAAAATAAATGTTGTGACCATGATTCTCGTAAAAAAGTTTTGTGACCATGAGTAAAACCATTTGTCCTCTTTATTCCTTTTATCAGGCCATGACCAAGGTATACAGCAAATGCTATGATGAAATTGGTGCCTTCAATGACACACGATACATTGTTGGAATGCTTGAGAAGGTAATTTCATTGGCTCTTTCCCTTCCAAGAGTGACGAGCACATTATTTGTCCAAACCATATCAATACATTATTCAGCAGATAGGTCATGCGAATGAAGACAAATACTCTGTCATGAACTTACAGATATTTCTTTCTTTGGTATCAGATTCTCAGAACTAAAATTGCAAGAAACATCTTGGGGGGAAGGCTTCAGTGAATATAAAACTGTTTTCTTGCGGCATTACATCAACAAGTCTTTATGATATTTCACACTAGTGAAAGCTTTTAATGTTTTTGAAAGTAATGTGCTGACGTTGGCGAATGGTGTTTCTTTTACAGACAACAGACAGATTGGAGAGAGATCGCCTTATACTCTTTTTGAATGCACTGATCAAAAACAAGGTAATCTAAATTAAGAGAGATGAAATATATCAATTGCTGCGAGCGTGAGACTATAAATAAAGCTAAGTCAAATCGCTAAAGTACACGCTGATAGTAGAGAAAATGATGACTCGAACTAAAATCTCAGCGGTTTTTCAAAGAATTCTCAAGCCATGAATAGTCTTTCTTCTTTATCCAGTGTCTTTCTTACGTTGTGCTTTATTTGACACGGTGTTTGTTTCTTGATGCAGAAAAATGTTAAAGAGATGATGGATGTGAATGGAATCAGAGTTCTTGTGGATCTTCTTACACTGGCCCATCTTCACACTTCAAGAGCTGTAGTGCCACTACAGGTAATACCACTTGAACACTGGTCGCAAATGATGACCCTAAAACGAGGAAGTAGCTGAGTTCGGCAGAGAACACCTCTTTTATCACTGTGTGAAATGTATCGTTTTCTTGCTTATTGAAATAAATTTTCTATTTGTTTTAAAGAGTAATCTGCTTGAGGCATCTCCTGAAATGATGCAGCGTGACAGTGAAAAAGAGTGGTACTATGGAAATAAGGAGAAAGAGAGGCTGGGGCCTTTCAGCTTTAAAGAGGTAAGTGTTGAGGCTTCATTCTTGATGTAAGTATTCAAATAACCGATAGACTGACTGACTGACTGATAGGGTAATTTAGTATTATTAACTGAGTCGATAACGTAAATAAATTGGCCAGGCTAACGCTCGAAACGTCAGGTCTGAAACTCTTTACGGTGGCCGATTTAGGTTATCAACTCCGTTGATAAAACTAAACGAGCCTATTTATACTCTCTTATCGACGCAGCACCCCCTCTGTTCATTTCACTGACGGATTGACTGACAACAGACTGATTGATTGACTGAATGACTGACAGACTGACGGACCGATCGACTGACTAACTAGCATACTGACTGACTGAATAATTAACAGGCTGACAGACTGGCGGGCAAACCGATAGACTACCTGGGCAACCAGATGTCTGCCGACTAGATAAACCTCTGAACCTTTACTTCCTTAAATGATTCGTACTAACCTGTCCCTGTTAACTCGTCGGTGTCTTAAGGAAATATAATGTTATAGTTTACATAAACACGTATGCTGTTCGCACTAATGGACAGGCGAACGAACGGATTTACGGTCATGACGAAATAACAAAGTTATGTTGGCTGTACACCACTGGGCTCTTGTAGCATCGTTGGCATGTTAGAACGCTGCCGATATCTCTGTTTCTATTTTCCCAGATGAAGGATATGTCAGCTGAAGGAATTCTCCGACCTGAAACAAAGTGCTGGGCTCAGGGTATGGATGGATGGAGACCACTTCAGAGTATTCCGCAGCTCAAGTGGTATCTACTGGCAACAGGCAGTGCAGTAATGAATGAAACAGACCTGGCTGTCTTGATCTTGAACATGCTGATTAAGATTTGTGAATTTTACCCCAACAGGTAAAAATGATGGTGAAACCTCAATTCAGGGAACTTCCCTATCACCATAAAAAGTGTCCCTGTGAGCAGGGGTCCCTTTGGAAAGGCTAAAACGGTGCCTTTTACTTGATACTACCAAGATAAACCCCCGATTCTGCAGAACACTTCCAAATGCACCCCTGCATGGTTTTGTGGTGTTATTTGATCTCGTCTGAAGTTTCTGTTGCTCTGATGTCTTCTTTTGCTTTAAGAAAGCACGATTATTGCTTAAAACGGTCAAATGAAATTTGAGAAATACGCAATAGTTGTTTCTAATCATTTAGTTCGTTTTTAATGCTCGTCAAACTTGACCATGGAGTAATCGAGTAGAATAAGTTTGTGGCCTCTGGTACTGTCAGTGATGTCTTCATTTATTTCGCATAGTTGGAACTGATGTATGTTTGCAATGTGAAATTTCGCACGGTAGGAAGTAAAGATGCCACATCATTCGTTTGTTCATCTCTTTTTTTTTTACCAGAGATGTTGATGGTGCCATAGTGCGGCCACTTCCAAGAGCGAAGAGAATGTTGTCAGAAGCTACATGCTTGCCGCATTTAGTTCAGGTATTGTCTTCTACAAGGAAAAAATACTTGACAAATAGTCAAAGAAAGTCCATGTTGGCAATTTTTTTCTTAACAGGCGAAATAAATTTTAACGTGTTTGGCCGGTTATTAGAATAAAGTTAAGCCGTTTGTAGCAAAACAACGTTCCAAGCCATCTTTGATGTAGAGCGAATGGACGAAGGGCTAACGCTCGAATAGTAGCTTAACAAACTCTTTACAGTCGCCAATTTATACTATCAACTCAGTTCATAAAACCAAATTTCCTTCTGATACTCCCCACTGACGCTAAACCATAGTTTCTTGAGGTAGTTATCGCCTTTATTCATCTTTGATTTTGATAAACGTTTAATTTAAACCTTTTCCTTTTGGCTAGCACCGGTAAACATTCGTTTATAGAAGAGAGAGACTTACATAGAAATATCGAGGTCCACGACGTATTCGTTGCTTTTGATAACACTTGAATTTATGCTGGTCCATAAATTTATTTTTCTTGTTACCTTCTTAATTGCAGCTTTTGTTGACCTTTGATCCTATCATTGTGGAAAAAGTGGCCATTCTTCTTCTAAATATGATGGTGGTAAGTATCATTGGTAACGCAGCCTTTTTGAATTGTGGCACAATTGTTTTAATTGTTGTTTGTGGATGCTTCTCGCACACGACTGGTAGCTATGCAAGGCTCACCGCCATAACCTGACCCTTTTCAACTAAACTATGAATTCACATCATGCAAAAATGAAAAAATTGCGCAGTTGGTAAGGTTTGTAGATTGACTAGCGACTATACAGTACAATTTGAAATCCTTTCGGTGGGTGGATGGGAAAAGGTTACTACTTGCAGATGAAACAAAACAACTTCCGGGTAGAAGTCGTGGAATTCATTCCTAGGCTCCAGCAGTGTGTGAGAAAAGCTTATTCTACTTATTCCGTTTCACTCAGCCAGTGGATGAAAACAGTTAGCACAACAGACGAGACAACAGTGAATTGTTGGATACTTGTTTCAATCCTTTACTTTCTGTTGCTTTAGGACAACCCCATCCTTCCACGATTGTATCTTACTGGAGTGTTCTTCTTTATAATGATGTACACTGGGTCAAATGTTCTCCCCATTGGAAGGTAATTTTTTTTTTTGTACAGCAAGCTATGGTAAAGTTTCCAAAGGAAAAACCTTCACTATATCAATATTCATTTGAAACAATCAGTTGCATCGTGGTTAACTGGCATTAAAGACTTCTTCGGTGCAAGGGCTGTTATCCTCGTGGGGTGGCGAGGTTTTTTTCCATCGGGCTTTTCTAACAGCTGAGGAATTTTATCGTTACCGCAACAAAAAGCTTTCGCCGTCTAGCCTCTTTTTGAAGTGTTGCAGTTTTCGTAACTTAACAGAAGAAATATTCCCAGAAAAATAAACAATTTAAGAGAGTAAATTGTTGCAAAATAAAAACTTTGGTGATTGTAAATGCATAATCGCAACACAGGAAAGTTTCTGTATCCAGGCAATGTGCTTAACTTACCATTTTTCTTTGTTGCTTCTTAGATTTTTGAAAGAAGTACACACTAAACAGGCCTTCAGATCTGAAGAGGTGAGGAGGAAAACTGAAATATGGGAAGCTTTTTAACGGGAGAAGCCATATACGTAGTTCCAATCTCGCCTTATAATTCACAGTTTTCAAGCAGTTGTTATTTTCTTGGTCCGATTCTTATTCTCATGAGTCATTTAATTCTTCTTGCAGAGTCAACAGTCAGATTTATTCCAGAGGAGCATAATCGGGCCCATTCTCCCGGAGGCCATGGTCTGTTATCTGGAAAATCATGGTGGGTAGCAGGTTCATGTGACATACACTAGAATCGAATCAATCAATGCCGATTTTTAACTGGAATAACAGCTAAAGGTGTTTATAGAAAGATCAAAAACGCCGATAATGAATAGAGCCCAATTCGATTGCATTTTGTTAAAGCAAAGTAATCCTAAAGGCATTGAAATTATTGGGAAAAATGACGAGAAGTCATTGATAGCCTAATGAGTAAAAAGGCGGGAAAATATTTATAGCCAAGTCGCGGTTGGTTTAGCTTCGCATCTGATTGGTCGAGAAGACGGCTTAAGATTTGTGAACCAATCACAGAACGAAACCAGCGCCATCCCGAATTCCTACAACACTCAATCGAGAAAAATATCAGAGAAAAATAGTAAAAAAACTTCAAAAGTTTGACAACGTGATAAATATTCAAGTGTTGGGAAGGATCAGGGACTTGTATTATGGTTATCCACGACTGAAACTGCGTCAGATAGATTTATAGACGCTCTATTGACATTCAGGTCCTGACAAGTTTGCTGAGATTTTCCTTGGCGAGTTCGACACACCAGAAGCTATTTGGAACAGTGAAATGAGGTAAGAAAGAACTTGGGTTTACTGTGCGATGACCTCAATCACAACTTTACTACATTTGTTTATGTCCGGTAAGGTTTGTGTACTGTTTATGTCATCTTCAAAATTAATTGAAATAAATAACGTTTTGACCAGTGGGAGCAAAGAACCCCTGAACTTTGCCTCCCTCCCAACATATGGCTTCGTAGCTCAGTCGTTATTAGTACTCACTCAGTATCTGTGAGTCCCTAGCGTTCAATCAGTAGGGACCTTAATCAGTCAGGACTGTAACGCCAAGGAAGACTTCGATTAAGAAATGAACTTCTGCCTTTAATTAGAATTTAAAAAAATGGCCGCATGTGTCTACCGTCTCATACGGCGCCACACCTCAACTTCAGCGTAACGTATGAAAGAAGCGTTGAGTTCCAAATGGAAATAAAAATAATTTGCCGTCGCGGTTTCGGTTCGCAGACGACGCAAATTGTGGTGATTTTATGTTGTTGTTTTGCATAGGAAGGCTAAGAAATGTACAAAGTTTTAAAACGCACGTGCTGAGCTATTGTTCTGCCAATTAGATCTTTTGTTTTTCCATGTCCGCGTTGCCGTCGCCGTCGTGGTTTGCTTAAGGTCCCAAATATCTGGGAGGCGCGGGTTCGAATCCCGTCGATGTATGAATTTTTTCCAGGCTTTTTTTGTGCAATTTCTTTGATTGCAAGTCACCTGTAAGGATAAATCTCTTTTAGGCGGCTGATGATAGAGAAGATTGCTACTCACTTAGCGGACTTTTCACCAAGATTACAAAGCAACACTAGGGCCTTGTACCAGGTAATTTTGCATCGTGCTTTGAAATGAACTGCTTGCAGTCTATGTCAGTTCTTTCCTTCCGTAACCTTCCTCGTTCTCTTTTGTGTGTTACTACGTCGTTGGGAGATTCTTCCATACAAAACTGTTCTACGCTGTTGCATTTGATGTGAGTGTAAAATACGTAACTGCGTTTCAAACGAATATTTGAAAATTATTATTTTTTGATTAGTCGTCGAAACTATGAAAAGTTATATCAGAAAGCTTTATTAATATAGAAAGTGAAAAACTTTCTTAACGCTTTCAATGGCTTTAGTGCGTTTTTTTGCACCAGTGGAGACTTGATAAACGGACAAGAAAAAAAAAAGATACCTGAAAAGTCAAAATCTATCCACGGAGATGATTTAATCCCAAGTATAAAACAATTTCTTGTTTGTTTGGACAAGACCTGTGGGTAGCCTACTTCTTCTTCTACTTGTTTACGTTATGTCGTTTTTATCCGCAGTATTGTCCTATCCCAGTCATATCCTATCCTCAACTGGAGAATGAACTGTTCTGTAATATCTTCTATCTGAGGCATCTGTGCGACACAGAAAAGTTTCCTGATTGGCCAATCAGAGAACCGGTAAGATACTGTACTTTTCAAACCAACTTCGAATTGGCTTTGCTTTGTAACTGGTTCAAAAGCGCTTGCACCACCGTCAAAGCCAATGAAACGTGTAGACGGAACAGATTGTCACGTGGTCGCATCTTGTTTCCGCGCTTCGCCGCTGGTCACGCTTGTTTACCTCAAGTTGTCATAACTCATACTATCGCTCAGTTTTTATATCATTTTCTGTTTTATTCTCTCTGGATCTAACTTCAATTTTTAAATGATACTTGTACCTAACGTAAGATTCTTGTCCTATTCTGCTTTCAGTTTCTTAAATTTGCCTTATATGATGTAAACATTGTGTGGTAATAATTTTCCTTCTCTAGGACAAACTGAACGTTCTCTGTTTTTCTTTCGACACTCTTGTTTTTTGTAGATTCGGCTGCTCAAGGACATTCTAGAAGCGTGGAAAAAGGAAGTGGAAAAGAAGCCTTCGACATTGACGGTAGATGAAGCATATGACGTTTTGAAAGTCAAAAGAGACCCTTCAGGGTAGGTACAGACACTATGTGAAACATAGCATGCAGTAGCACGTGAAAGTACCGCTAAGTAGCTTTCAGTGATTGGTCACATACTAGAGTTTTTCCCTCAGGCTAAAGAGTACTGAGCTCACTAAAACTTAGAACTGCCTCTTACAGCATAATTCAGAGCTTCCTTTGAAACACTTTTTTTAGGCTTCTATGTGAATGGTCACACATTAGAGATTTATCCACTGACTCTAACGTTAATCGTACGTCTACCTTCTGCTGCATAATAAATAGTACCTCATGAAAGTACCACTCAGTGGCTTTACCATGAAAGGTCACATACCGCGGATTTCATACCCAGACTTAAAAATCAGAATCACCTTGTAAGGTTTAGGAAACAGCCCTTCATAAAGGGCTTCAGTGGCCTTCATTTTAATGGTCAAACTTAGGGTCTGGTAGCCAATCCAGAGATCACAGTACAGAGCTTATACTGTGAAATGGAAACAGCCCTTTGTTCTTATGAGCTACAACCTGTCATATTTGACAGTGCAATCTTCTGATGGTTGTTCTGTTGAAACCGCAGGGATACTAATACGGGAGTTTTCGTGCTAGAATTCTTTAACCAATAGATACACTAGCCCCGTGCTCCTGGTACATTTTATCTCCTCAGTTACGAATGTGATGTGTTCATAAGGCGTGAAAAGAAAATTGCTATATATAAAGTATCCTGTAACTGCATATCCCACTGCGCGTTTCGAGATTACGCGACTTATCAGATCGCCATCGTAGATTCTAATCCGGCCTTATGATTGGTCCATGCCTCATTTGCCGGCATATCAAATCCTGCCCTCTGGTTGGTTATGGGCTATAGTCCTATTACTAAAGCTACTTTATTTTCCCTACAGACTTGTTGATGAGGCGAAAGTTAGAAAAGCTTACTTTAAAATGGCGCAGAGGTACCATCCAGATAAGAATCCAGAAGGAAGGGTAAGACTTTACCGTGTGTAACATAAAAATGTCAGCTTAAAGAAAGTGGGAGTTCTTTGACCCACGTGGGTGTCAAAACGAAGATCATCCTTTTTTATTTAAAAAAGAGCAAAAGAAAAAAAAAAGAAGAAAGAAAGTAGTTACGTAGCGATGTTTTGTATCATCTTCAGGGCATGAAAGAATTAGGATGAAATCGAAAAAAGTATTGAATAATAGTGCGCCAATGTCGTGGAAGCCACAATGGCCCATCGGTTAGCGCGCAGGTCTGTGGATCGAGAGGTTTGGGTACGAAACCTGGTTTGGGGCATTATGTTGTGTTCCTAAGAAAAACACTTTCCTCTTACAGTGCCCCTCTTAACTTAAGAGTATAAATGGGTACTGATGAATTGTCAGGGAAATCTGACGAAAAGGTGGGAGAAAACGTGCTATTGAATAGCATCCCATACAGGGGGGAGTGGTGATACTCCTAGTTTGCTTTATGCCTTATTCTGTTATGAGTAAGGCAGAGAAGAAGCTGGTTGGCTAAAGATGGAGAAGAGTAACCAGGCCTCGAAGGGAAAACTCTGATAATAAAGCAAATGGTTCATTTTTTTTCAAGGGGGTAAACTTCTAACGACACTGTGTTGCCACTTTAATGGGATGCTGCTTAGTTTATCAACAAAGTTGATAATTTAAGTTGGCCACCGTATTGTTAAAAACTCTTTCCCGTGGCCAATTTACAATTTCAACTCAGTTGATAAACACCAAGTTATCTTGTAAACTCCACACCACAATTTCTTTAAAAATTAACCCCTTTTAGTTTTAGAACTCTTTACGGTGACCAATTTACGTTATCAACTCAGTTGATAAAACCAAATTATCCAGGAGTATTTCGTTGTTTAATTTCCCTTGTTCTTTTGTAGGACATCTTTGAGAAAGTGAACAAGGCTTATGAGTTCCTCTGTTCCAAATCCTCTAAACAAGTTCAAGGCCCAGATCCGCATAATATTGTACTTATTCTCAAGGCTCAGTCCATTTTATTCAAGCGACACAAAGATGGTAGGGTTTTGAACTTAGTCACGCTCTCTGTAACTGCCTCTTGTGCTTGTAGTTCCTCGCAGACTAAAGAAAACGTTAATTTTTGTCTCTGAAATAAGTCAAGGACAGCTAAAATTGTTATAATCTCAAGAAACTACATGCTTTGCCTCTCCAAATCGGTGTAATTTAGGAGTGGTTTTCAAAAAAAGGGGTACTATTTGGCATCCGGAGATATTTTTTCGTAAGGCTCTAAGCTGCTGGAACTAATCGACAGATGGATTGGTTATTTAACGCAAATAAATAATCTAACATCTATCATATCTCAGATTTTTCCAAGTTTAGTTTTATTTTAAGGCACGAGTAAAATGAGACACTAACTTATACGTCATTCTTTCGCCTGACATTTTGAAAGCAGCCGGTCAAAGTTGTGTATTTAACCGGTGCCTGGCCCCTCATGAAACCTCTATGAGACTTGAGAAAGAGGAAAACCAATTAGTTTAGATGAAATTCAACTCAACTCATAGATTACATGTTGCTATGCGTATGTTCAATAACAGAGAGTGTCACTGATGTCTTCACCACAGTTTGACGTTCACTTTTACCTTTTATCGTTCAGACCCCCGGTTTTGTTTGTGGTGACGTCATCTATGCGCCTGCCAATCAAAAAACGTGCATAATTCAGCTTATCATATAAATTGGGTTATTTTCTTGCAGACCTTCAGCCATATAAATACGCCGGCTACCCGATGTTGATTAAGACCATCAGACTCGAGACCGTGGACAGCAGTTTGTTTTCAAAGTCAGCACCGCTTCTTACAGCTGCCAGTGAACTGGCTTATCACACGATCAACTGCTCAGCGCTAAATGCCGAGGAATTACGTAGAGAAAGCGGAATTGAGGTAAAAGCAGTTGTGGTAGAAGGTTAACTAGAACTTCTTTAGTCTTCTGTGCTGGTGTCCTGATAAGAAAACAGGGACAACGAGCTTTTGAAAGCCGCCATTTTTATGAACGGAGATGGGAGGAGGCGGGCTGAGATAACAGACCTACTCCTTGCTCCCCTCCCCCCACAATTTTTTTCTCACCTGTCGGTTCCCCTCTCGGTACGAATTTCTCTTTCTTCACCATTCTTCCAATCCGATATTGTGGTAAAATGTTTCACTAAGTAATACGAAGGGTCCGTTCGCAAAGTGCACTTCCTCTCTTTGTCAGAACTTATCAAGAATGAGTTATCAAAACATTAATGATTCCTCAAAATTGCCCATCATAAGTAAGTTGATTGCCTATTGTGAAAACCTTCTTTTTGCTTGACTTAACGCCTTTTCATGTCCTGTATCTTTGAATTATTCAGCTGAGCAAACTCTTTCACTTGTAAAGAGAAAAAACATAATTATCTGTGTTAGTTGCCTTGTGAGTATTTTGTTGTAAGCGTTCGGTGAAAAAGGTCTCCTTGTGGTAGAATCTAAATGCTCTTTCAGATAACTAATATTTGCTTGTATTTAATTTGTTTTTTACCAGGCACTTCAAGAGGCTTATGACCGTTGCTTACTGGCTATTACTGGCATGACTGAACCGAACGCCATTCCAGTCCAAGTAAGTTATTTTACAATACATGTCGTTTCCTCCGCAATAGGAAAACATTTTTCTTAGTCTTCAACCCTTTGACTCCTAAGAGTATCTAATATCTAATTTCTCCTTACAAGATTACCTTCGAATCATACATAAAGGTCACGAGAATATAGAAAATGATCACCAACTAAAGTAGCTCTTGATTGTTAAACAAATTCTCCTTGTCAGCATCGTAGGAAATGTAAAGAGAACAGTATGGAGAATATGCATACTGATGTTAGGTTGTAACAAATATCGTAGTAGATTGTGCGAAAACCCATCTTTTAAACGACTTTGTAGAAACCCTTTCTAGTTTGCGTTAAACTAATTTTCATTGCTAATTAGAAAGTTAGCTACTGCTGTGCGTTATTTTGTAAAGTAAGGATAAGATGTCACCCTTTGTTGTTCTTATTTTCTTGTTTAGGTTTGCACTCACATCACGAGGTGCTACACAGTGGCAGCCCAGTTTGAAGAGTGCCGGGAGAAGATCACTGAGATGCCAGATGTTATCAAAGATCTTTGTCGCGTCCTTTATTACAGGGTATGAAAACATTCTGCGTTCAAAGATGGCTCGTTGTCTGTAGTGGTGTCTACTTTATAGTGAATTGCTTACCAATTAGAGCGCTTTTTGATGGAGTGTTGTTAAACCAAAATCAAAGTAATCACAACCCATCAGGCAAAAGGAAAATGTCTTTCAGAGCCAAAGAAACCTTGAAGTAAAATCGACCAATTTTCCAATTTAAGTCGTGGTTGGTTTTAGTTTTGCATTTGAATAATTGAGAAAGTGGCGCGAATTTTCTGGACCAATCACAGAACGAATTAATGCAAAAGCAAAGCAATCCCGGGTTCTTATCAACACTCAATTCAAAATTATCCCATGACATGATTCAGCTTTGTTAAACCACCGTAGCAAATTTTGAAAGCTGATCTTTCGAGCGTAAGCGCTTCGTCGTAAAGCAAAAACAAAGTAATCACGACACCCAATCATATCAAAGGTTTACGTCATCTAAGCTAATGAGGACTTAAAGTAAAAACAGGCACACTACCAAAGGCGCGAGAAAACGCGGACGACCAAGTTACAAGTGGTTTTCGTTTGGCGTCTGATTGGATTAGAAAATGGCATGAGTGTTGTAGACTAATCACAAGCCGAAGTGAAGGAAAATCAAAGCAATCCCGGAATACTTTCAACACTCAATTGAAGACTACTCTAAACTTGATATCCAACTTATAGTAAAAGCTTTTTTTTTGAGGCGAATTTGATGTGGGTGTTTTGACAAAAAGTGATAGGGTATTTTGATATTTCACAACGACTAACAGCTGTCATCTTTTCTTTTAGAATCTTCCAGCGCTCAATTCTGTTGCAGCAGAATGTGTCAGTGCTTTCTCTGTGGATTTCTGGCTTCAAACCCAACTATTACAGGTGAAAAACAAAATATGAGAGATGTGAAAGGGATGCGCATGGAGCAGTTCAAAACTGCAGCTATAAAAATACTTTAACGTCTTTGTTATCCTGTCATGTTGCTGTCAAACTTTTTTTTGTATGTGTTTCTTGTACTTAGCGCCTTACTTGATTAAATTTTGTGGAGTTTCGTGTACCTGACCTGTGGTTTCTCGTTGTAGGCTGGTGTACTCTGGCATCTACTCTTGTTCGTGTTCAGTTACGATTACACACTGGATGAAAGTGGAGTGGAGAAAAGTGCAGAAACCAACCAGCAGGTTTGGAGAAAAGATAAACGCGTTCTGTAATGGCCTTTATTCAAAAATTAACGAATAATTGAATGATTGAAGGGAGGATTGTTCAATTAAACGTGCAAACGAGAAAGCAAAGGGATAGAAGAACGCATATTCGCACGCACACAGGCTTGTGTACTCGCTCGCACGCACGCACGCACGATATCGTAGAACGAAGAAGCAATCTTGTGAGTCTATGCCGACGAACGAACAACACGATCATTTTCATTTCTTTGTTTACAGGAAACTCTGAACAGTCTTGCTCGTCTGAGCATCGATGCTCTGGCTCGACTGGGAGGATATTTGAGTAAGTAAAACATTCTTCCTCGTTCAGCTAGTTTCTTTCTGTAACAATACACTGCCTTGCGAAAAAAAAAAAAGCAGAGATGATCATTGAATCACTGCACCAGAGGGGAGATCCCTCATGTAGATGTTTTAAAGGTCATAGTCGAGTTTCCACTCCACGCTGTCCTACACGGAAAGCTTTCTTTTTTCTTTTACTATTTTTTTCTTTTCTTTATTTTCATCCTCTTTTACGCAGAGATTAAAGTAAGCGATTCTCCAAGCAGCGTCTGGCCAATGCATAATTTTATTTTCTCTGTTCACTCGCATTCCCTTTTTCTTTATTTTTATCTTTTTTTATTTCTAGTAAACTGCGTGAGAAAGCAGTTCGTATCGAATGAGAAATCAAACAACGAAGTAAACCTTATCTGTTGTATTCTACATTTTTCAGCTGACGAAAATAAAACCCCTGAGAATCCAGCCATACGAAAGTCTTTGTCCAGTATGTTCACACCGTATATCGCCAAACAACTCAGCAATGATAACCCAAAGGAGGTTAGTAATTTAATTCTTTCCTCTTATCTGCGATTAGACGTTCTTAGGCACTTCCCCGAGAAAAGGAAGGTGCGATCAAAGGTTAACCTCTCCCAGGCTGGCGACGAACTAGACCATGTTATTCCTCAAATGCAGCCAATTTGATCCGCGTCTGATTTACTAATTTAGCCATTGATTAAAGCGGGCTCACCTGACGATTCTGCACAAACCTGATCGAGGGCATTTTCCATCACGAAAACATCGTCATTAATGAACGTCAAAAATCGAAGTGACGGGCACTCTCGGCTACACTCACCATATTTCGCCGGTCCTGGCGTCATCGTTACCTCCGACATACTAGGCAATAGTCGCTGATCGCTGCGCTATAAGAGTCTGTTACGAATACAAAGTTTAGGTGTGCTACATTGTTCATGTCTCCCCATCTCACCGAACACGCTTGCTGTGAATTACAGGTGTAAAACTCTAAATTGTGTGAAGTAGTAAAGTTAAATTTTTTGTTTGTCTTTTTGTTTGTTTTGTTTTTGCATAGATCTTAAAGTTGCTGAACAGTAATACAGAAAATCCTTATCTCATTTGGGATAATGCTACACGTGCAGAACTGACTGAGTTTCTCGAAGCCCAACAACTACGAAAGATCAAGACGGTAACTGACTGATTAAACATCGTAACAGAAACTTGACGATTTGTGCCAAGTACAGCTATCGCTATTAAGCTGTATGAGTTTCGTGGAATACTTTCTGCTTGTCGTAAAATTGTCAAAAGTTAGACGAATACTTCTATAAAGATTCACTTAAATCGAAAGAGACTACATCGCCGTTGGGTTAATTTGAAAAAAAGTAGCCTAAATTCGTCAAGTGCGTTTTTTTTAGTCCATTTCGATTCTTTCCATCCTTAACCTCGTTCCCAGAGTCCTCCCTCTTCCTCCCATGAGAGAAGAGGGTGGACCTTGGGAATGAGTTTACTCTATCCTTAGCCATCCTTGTACGTTTTTGGTTTATTTGTGCCTATTTCATGTTTGTCTACACAAACTACTACTGATCTTGAGGTTGAATTATGAAAAGGCGATTCTCTATCACGCTAACATGACGCAAAACACAATGACGTATCTTCGCCAAGATTTTCAAGCTCGTAGTTTGCAATTCGTGTCAATATCCTCCATCCTTTGGCATCCTTATTGGCTGATACTGACTTCTTAGGTGTTTTGTACCTTAGCAAATCAAGTCATTCTTTTTTTCGCTGAGCGTTTATAGATTTAGCTATATTTGAAAGATATTTTTCTGCATCATGACAATCACTCGAAAACACGCCAAGCTGGAAACACACCTGACGATTTTCGCCGATCGCCGCAATTGGCGTATGAAATCGCCTGGTGTGTCATCGGCTTTACATATCTACTGTAGACATGATATTGTGTCTCATCTCAACCTTGTCTTTTGTTTGTTTTGTTTTTTAAGGGCGACTGTGATACTTCGTTTGGGGCACGCTTCGCCTTCTCAGTTTTCAGTGAAGAACTTATCGTTGGCGAAATCTTTGTTCGTATTTACAACGAGCAGCCTCTGTTTCCACTTGAGGTACGTTCCACATCCCAGAGAGTGTCCACTCAGCCTTTTAACTCCCAATATCCCGTTAGTAAATCTCTCCACTGACTGCCATCCATTCCCACGCAATATAGTCAGAAGAGTTTAGTTTTACATCAAGGTGACACCATCTGGCTGATAAGCTTTTCTGTTCTCGTAACCCGTTTGTAAGATAACATATTGGAATGGCAATGAGAAGTTGCATGTTAATCACCTCTATGCAGCGTTGCGTCGCGTTGAATATGGTTCTTAAAGGCCACATGTAAATGCCGCTTGGTGTAAAAGTTCAGTTTCCTCGTATTCTAGCTCTTCATGATAAAGGTTTTTTACGGTAGGAACTCAATGGCTTCTAAGAATTTAAGGATTTAACTTTTGTTTTGTTCGTTCGTTAATTTTTTTCTTCTGTGTTGCCTTCAGGCCCCATTAAAATTCGCAGCAGATCTGATCGACTTTCTTGGTTCGGAAGCACAGGTAGGGAAACAGCAGAGGAAGAAAATGTTTCTATGCATGATATCAGATTATTAATCGAAGTTACAGCTAAAACCAAAAAGTATTTTGTGTTCTCTCTTTGTTTCAATGGACGAGCTTTGTAAAAATAGGTACAGCTTCCTATTGGCAAAGGGTAGAGGCGTGTTAAAATTGATACCAAATTTTCAATGGTTACGTGGTGTGAGAAAAGGACTATGGTAAAGGTGATATGGCCTGGGGCATATCCTGTCTGATTTGGTATCTTTTTCTAAAGAAGTCGGAGAAGGAAAATTGGTTAGAAATGTCGATACAGACGATGCTTTTTTTTTCTGTAAATAAAAAATAAGTTCTTTTCTATTGGCTGGTTATTCAAACGATGTCCAACTTAGGTCGTGATTGGGAACAGTAAATGGACCTCAATAGTTGTTAATGAGTGGGCTGTTTGGAGTGTAATCATGTAAATGTTAATGTAATGGTCGACATTGTTTCCAAAAAGCAACCTTTAGTGAAAAGTTTAGATAAATTAGAGATGGTTTGGATTGAGGTTTTGCCATTGAAAAGTTAAACATTGGGTATACCACTTGCCACAAATGTGTTTAAATTTGATTTCATTCAAAATGTTCCAGTTATTACTTTCCTCAGTGTCCCTCGAATAACGATTTCTAATTAACTCTTTTCTTTTTTCATCTCAGTACCTTCATTCCGTTATGGCGTTGACGGCTTCGGAACTGGATCTCAAGAAGAACCAAAAAAGACTGGACGCTAGTGTTATGGCCCTGGAGGCACTACGAAACGTTATCAAGAACAACGCAGGTATAACAGGAGAAAGTGTTGCTTGTACGTCACGCAGTCGTTCTTAGATGCAAACGTGTGATGGGTTATACGATTGAACATATGACCTGGATGTGCGTAGAACACTGCGATGCTTGCGTGACGAGTTAATAGTGACGGTAACAATGTAAAATTTTGATGTTAACTTTCAATGAATTTCGTTCGCAACTTAGTCTTTCTTTTTACAGGCACCGAAGCTCAATGCATAGGACATTTTAGGCTTATTTTCTCATTACTTCGAATGACTAAAGCAACAAAACTCCAGAAGTTTGCTCTTGAGGTAAGACTGTAAATACTTTGTATCTACCTTGAATGTGCACAACATTCGCATGTTAATACCGAGCTCTATACACGGTGTAAGTGTATTATTTATCAACCATTTTCATTGCTGATGTCAAGTTCTCATTATTTACACGTTTTGGTAGTTCCAGTCATACTACCGTTGTAGCTTTGAGAATCATTGGGTAATTCAGACAGTTTTTCTTAAGGGATGAATTTCTATGGTCTATCCAGTTTAGAGAAAATTAAGTTTTTATTTTTTTGTTTTCGTATAGGTCATTTCGTGCACAACAGCCAACAAGAACTGTGTTTCCAGTATTGCTGATTCAGACATTCTTGGCTTCTTATTCCTTACGCTCCACACGCTTCCTTCAGGTTATTAGAAAATCATTCTTACTCTCTTTTCTCTGCGCTATACGAAACAAACTTTTTATCGAAGGACAACATCGACATATTAGTGATAAACGACAGAAAAGCACTGTTACTGTAGAGAGGAACTCAAAGAACGATAATAATTCAGGATGGAGAAGTTCAAAGAAACTCTCAAATAAGTGTCGAAAGTAATCTGGGATTGCATTGGTTTCGCTTTACTCCTCTGTGATTGGTCTAGTAAAAACTCGCACCATTCTCTCAACCAATCAGATTCAAATCGGAAAATAGTTACGACTTGGTTGCCCGTGTTTTCCCGTGCATTAGGCAGTTTGCTCGTTTTTACTTTGGGTTCTCATTGACTCGATAGGGTATTTTCCTTTCTTCTCATTGGCCGTCGTGATAACTTTGTTTGTTTTTTTTTTTACGACACACAATCAAAAAGCGCCCTTATTAGAAGACACGTCTACAACAAAGTTAAGAAATAATAACCATGTCGTATTTGGACTATCTTGGATAAGTTTTAACTCACAGGGAGTAGTCTGAGCACTTTTAAATATCTTCGTTGCGGCTAGTCCATCTCCAAAAGTTCAGTCATTTTGCGTCAAGTTTATCATTTGAAATCCGCGTCAATCTTTTCAATCCTTTGCCATCCTCGTTCGTTCATAGGTCATTATTTTCTTTTAAGTGTTTTTCTGTCTTCCACGATAATGTTTTGTCTTCCCTTACGTTCAAATTTTGCACGTCGCTAAAAAGGACTCAAATTTTCCGTGGTATGACGCCTATACTAAAAAGTTAGAATGGAGCTGTAGGTGTCTAAAATGTCTTCATATACGCCAGAGTCTGGAACAATTACCATCGAAACAATTCTCATCGATTTGCTTATTTTGTTTCTTTTGTTGTTGTTGTTGTTGTTGTCCTCATTTAGATCGGTTGTTGACAGTTGATACCATGCATGCACTTTGCTCCAACACGAAGATTGTCAAGGAGACAATGCACAAAGGTAAGTAGAATTTCCACGCTCCAAACTGCGACCGTTCTGGTTTGGGGACGAGTGAAAAGAAGACAGCGGAAGCAGTCGCCAAAAATTGCCTCTTTTTCCACGATTGTCCAAATATTAAAACTTCAAATTTTGGGTAAATCTCTAAAACCGATTGTCAGTCACGAAGTTCATTATAAAACCAAGGGCTTTGCTGAGCAGTAGAAAATGTCTTAATTTTTTTCCTGTCAAAAATTGTTTTGACCACTTCGTGATTCTGAATCAAAACAAATGAAGAGGGTAAATTTCTGCAGAAACTGTGCTGCTGCGTCGGAAGGGGAGTATAACTAGAGAATTTGGTTTTATCCACTTAGTTGATGAGTCAACTAGCCATTGTAGAGAGTTTCTGAAGGTGATGTGTCGAGCGTCAGCCCTCCGTCAGAGAAAATAAAATGAATTTGGATAGAATCCTATTCGCTCTTTCGAAGTGTTAGTGGCCAGTTTAGATTATCAACTCAGTTGATAAAACCAAATTGCCTTGGAAACTGTTGAGCTTGGAAGTCTGAGGTTAGATATGGCTTCGTGGATGGGGAAGTCATGACCCCTTAATGCTTTTATGTTACAAACTTTAACCATTAATTTCTCTCTTAGGTGGTCTTATCTATCTTCTTGACCTGTATACTAATGGTACAAACCCAGTGGTGCGGGAAAGGTCAGCGGAGTTGTTTGCGAAGATGATGTCGGACAAGCTAATTGGACCAAAAGTCAAGATCGTGTTGTCCAAATTCCTGCCCGCCATCTTTATGGACGCCATGAGAGATAGCGCACAAGCCAGTGTGCACATGTTTGAAGGTAAGAAATTACTTTTAGTCCCTAGACAGAGCAGATGCGCTCTCGCCACACCCTCATATTGCGATTAGTCATTTTTTAACTGCTCCTCATACGCTTATCTCGCCCCTCGTGCAAAGAATGCAAACAAACTGTACTGCAGGGCTAAGTAACGAACTCCATCATTCTCTTTGTGTTTGTCTGTTTGTTGTTCAGCAAATCAGGAGAATCCGGAGTTGATATGGAATACAGAAGCCAGAGAGAAAGTCTGTTCGGTGGTGAAAGAGCTGAAAGACAGGTAAACCTAACTGAGTTTTATTCTCGAACCTTAATGAACCTTAATGAACCTTACATCGCATATTCCTTAGACTTGCATTAACAAGAACAACAGAAGCAACCTTCTTTATTCGTATGAAACTGTTTTTCTGGAAGACAGGACAATTTGCCTTAAAAGCGACATACTCAAAACAAAGGCAGTTCTAAGCTGTCATTCCTTTGTACATGGAAACTGAAGAGACGTTACTTTTTGTCTTGCAGACATTATCAGGAGCAGAAAGACAATCCCGACATCCAGTGGAAGGTGAGTATTGAGCCAACCTTCGTTTTACATTGAATCACTGGTATGTAGAAATTCTAGAAAGTTTGTTCCGCTTCAGAATTTTACATATTTTCTCTTTCCTTCTACTTTAGCTTCCTGACAACTTCGAAGTGATGTTTGACGAAGCTGCTGGAGAATTAATCGTGGGTGGAATTTACCTCAGATTGTTCATACAGCAACCGGCTTGGGTAAGACGTTTGAATCGCGTTCGGTTCGTTGACATGAAAGTAATTTTTTGGGCAAATTACTTTTAAAGGAAGCTGAGCAGTAGTTGGTTTACAGTAGTCTGACGGATGAAATTCGTTGAAACTCCCTCTGAATTGTTGTTTGCAGAACTCATGAATTAGAAAAAAAATTGAAGTTTAAATTTACAGTGAAGTGGCATCTAACGTCCAAATCACAATGTATTGTATTTTACGTTAAGAAAGTGTCTTTCTTTCGTTTAGCTCGATGTTGAGTACATTTTCACTTTTACCTCAGGTTCTGCGGAAGCCAAAAGAATTCCTTGTTGCTCTTCTACAGAAGTTTATTGAACTACTCTCAAAATCTTCTCATGTAAGTGTTTCCTGTACCTTCAAATTTTATTTTTAACCTCTTCTCTGATGTGATTCATTTATCTTTTTTTCTTTTTCGTACCTTTATTGTCCTTAATGTGAACCTGTCTGACCACTTGTACATGTATCTTGTTTAACTTGTCTGACTGGTTGAATCTTGCTTAACCTGTTTCAGGGTGAGACTCTGGAGACTGTTACCCAGGCCACTCTATGTCTTTTCACTGCGCAACCACAACTCGGAGACCAGGTATTTCCTAAAAGATTGACAGAAAAGATAACAATTAAGCTCTGGGATATTTTCGATGTTTAGATCTATAAATTCGCATCATACTCCTGTTTTGTTGATATGTTCGATATTTAGCCATCCACCATCATGGATTTGCTTTTCAGCATGGCAACTTTACGATTAGTCTGAAAAAATGCGCAAACTGTGAGCGAGTGTAAAGAAGTATTGTTATCTTTAGGTTCCAGGTCTCGGCCACATTCCTAATTTGGTCAAGGGTATGAGCTCCAGTAATGATGCAGTCATCAAGTCCGCTGTACAAGTGGTTCATTTACTCTCACCTAACGAGGTGAGGCGGGTTGTTAAGGGTGAAATATCATTTCCCTAAAAAAATCACGATTAGGTACAGAAAAATCGTACCAGATAGTTCACGTGAATCCTGGGAGGATGGCAGGTAGCTGAAACTGGATTTGGCAATCGTCAGTAAAGCAATTCAATGACCGTGTGGATACTGTTCAACTTTGAGGGGATGTTCTTCGCAAAATTCTAGCAGATGAAAAATTTCGCCCTGTTATAGAAGATCCTGAGATTTCGTAAGGGGGGAAGGAGCTTGTTAGATAAGCTGGGGTTATTAGAGAGATCTACGTAGAAGTATGGTAACCACAAAGTGTTAAGCCGAGAACTATGGGTGGGAATAATGGATTGCCAAAAAATTCTCCAATTGCAGATTTGTGTTCGAAGCATGGCCCAGGTGACTGATTGCATCAGTCACGTGATCAAAGGAATGGACGCGAGACCAGATGTAGTGGGTTTGGCTTGTGAAGCGCTTCACAGAATGTTCGAAAAGAATCACACAGAGCTTGTTGCGCAGGTAACGAAACTGAGAAATAACTTCCATGTCGCAAAAGAGGTGTTATGACATATTGTGTAGATCTGATTTCAAAATCAGTGGATTAAACTCCAACCTCATCTCCCTTCTTTCCTCAAGCAGGAATTTAACATAATTTAACATAATTAATTTATTTACATAATTTAACATAATTTAACACACTTGGAACCCTGGTTATGGCTAGTTACGTGCCTATAAAGACAAAAGAACGCTGTTGAGAGGGTGGGTCCTATCAGCGGAAGGGACCAAGCTCGATTGCTTTTTAAACCGTTTCTCCAACTCTTATTTTAATTACGGATAAAAATTTTACGAAGGAGCACCTCCTTCGATTTGGATTTTTTGTTATCTCGCAAATTCTCGGACACACGTGACCAGCAACAATTAAAATCCTCTCTCTTCCGTGAGAAAGAGAAGAGGATTCTGGGAAAGAGGTTAAATTTGACTCTAGTGGTTGACCATTGACAAGAAAGCTTCTGTAGAGTACTTTCAAGTGGCCCTGTTTATCATGCAGTGCAAAGGGGCTAAAATGTTACGTTTGTGGCTAAAACCCTAGTGTGCTACCATTTAATTTAAAGCCACTAAGACGTGCTTCCATGTGGTACTGTTTATTAACCCTCTACGCCTTAACATCAGTATGCATATTCTCTTTACTTTCCTTTATACGTTTCATAAGCTGCTGACAAGGAGAATTTGTTTTATTCAATTAACAACCAACAGTTTTAGCTGGTGATCATTTCCTTTATTCTCATGACCTCAATGTTTGACTCATGGGTGATATTATAGGGAGAAATTAGATGCTGGTCACTCTTAGGGGTTAAATGGTTCAGCTATTTAAGCTGTTTTAACTTTATATGTAGTCCTCGGTTGAAATCCTCATGTGACCGTTGAAACGAAAGCTCCGGAGCCGCCCTTTCTCTGAGTGAAACCATGGTATGCGGCGTCGAATGAAGGTTTTAAGGGGAGTATCTCTCTCTGCCTGAGATTAAAACTAATTTGTTCTCCTTGTTGTTAACTATATTTTCCTGTTTAGGCGCTCAAATTTGAGTTAGTCCAGTATCTTTTAAACCTTCTGAACGGAGCGCTCAAAACTGTAGAGAATCCTGCAGCCACCAAAGCTCAAATTGTCAAGGCTCTGAAGGCGATGATACGTGACTTGACCCACGGCGAGGAGGTAATATCCGATAAGAAAATCTTTCTTTTTGTAGGGTGAATTTTTTTTATTACATAACCAGTTAATGTTACTGTGTTATTCGTGATAACTTAGTAGTGTCAGGTGAGTTAGAACTATGTCTGAGAAATGCCAAATACTGCTTTGCTATTGGAGAAAGAAGAGGCTGTGTAGGGATTAGCGAATTCATTGTTTCAGTTAAAGTTTGATTTTATTCTTCTTTTTTTTTGTCCTATTACAGATCAACAAGATTCTGGAAGCTTCTACAGTGTGGGCCTCGTACAGAGACCAGAAACACGATCTCTTCATATCGGACAAACCTGTGGCTGGCTACCTGACAGGGGGCGCTGGAGTTGCTGGCTACCTGACAATGGGCTCTGGCAATGCGAGCACCATGTCCAGCGTGCCCCCGCCTGTGGACCGAGTGGAGAATGGAAGCTGATGTCACGTGACATTGGATGGTGCCAGTCAATAGTTAATTAGGCAGGCTGTGTTTACTCGAGCGTGACAGAGGATACTTTGTACTTCCTACATCACCAAAACTATTACAAATGTCAAAGTTTTTTCATGAATTATTTATTATATTAATTTTTGTTCATGTTGCGAATTCTTATCCAGATGATTACAAACTTTTTCCGAATGGAAGGCTGTTCGCAGTTTTCGTAACTGATACATTCATCTAGCGGATTTGACAAAATTTTGCAACAGAGTTTCGTCCAAGGAATCGTGTGTTTACTGCGTTTTTCAGCGGTGAGCACAACTGAATTTTTTTTTTCTTTTTCATATGTAAACCTTCGCCGCAATTCTGAAAATTCTCTTCCTTTATAACTTTCACATATACTTGTAATTATATTTTAGGCAACTCGCTATAGAATTCCCGTAAACCTTCTCCACTTTGGTGATTGTATGAAGGTTTAAAGGACACATTGCGTGACTCACGGTATGAAACTTTTGTGCGTCACGCCGCATTTTTGCACGCTCATTCGAACACAGCCTTTTATTAAGAATTGACGCAAATATTCTTTGGTGATGAACATTGCAATTCTGCACAAATCCAATCGGGTTTGTCGAAGCCAGTTTCCAAATTTAGATTCATTCGAAAAATCCATGTTTCGTGATATTTTATTTTAACTGAAAATGTCGCAAAGAAGGCTTAAAAACATGTTATTCAAGTCGAAGTAGATCATCTGTGGCGTCGATTTGCGTTTCATGCTGTTGAAATATTTACGGGTAGCCAGAAATAAGTACAAATTAAGAAACAAATAATTTATTTTAATTTTCACAGAAAATAAGTGGTTATAGTTCTCTCTCATTTGGTAAAGTCGCGAAACAAAGTCACGTTTAGCTCATTAACCCACAGGATCGTTTAAAAATTCCCTTTTCCAACAGCCGCACATTTTCCCGGAAATGGGTGAGGAGAATTTAATATGTTATCACAGCTGATCAGTATGTTAATTCTTATCACCTGTTTTCTGGGTAAGGAATTGACCTTGCTAGCAGAAGCTATCTGTATCACTTCGACTAGTTTAAGCGATCACTCAGAGTAAACCACAAGGTGACTAATTCAAGAAATTAAGATTTAGGTACATTCTGTGGTAATGTTTTCCACTTCGCCCTGTATTTGGAAAACCGAAAAATTGCCCTTTTTTTTTTTTGTAAAACTTTGATATTTTCAATGTGATTAGAGAGATTTGAAATTGCCAGCCAGTTCTTTTAATTGTAGCATGCGAAATTTGTGACTTATAGCAAAATCTCAAACCAGGAGAGAACATAGCCAACGGAATTTAACGGTTTTCTAAAATGTTTGCAAAGTTGCTGCGAATCCAGTCATCCTAAAAATAAGACATTAGATCTATCATTATTCAATTGAATAAATGACCAGTTAAAACGCTCGTAAGCGCGGGAAAGTGCATAATAAGTTGAAGTAGACCTGCGAGAGAAGCAAATTTTCTGTAGAAAGTAATTCACCAATAAAAAACAATGCTCTTTTGTTTTACCGACACTAATTAAATTGGACGTTAATTCGGTAAAATTAGGTCAATGTATTATAACAGAAAAGTAGAACTGTCTTTTTTATTCTAAATAGATCAAAGTTTAGAAATATATTTTAAAAAAATGGCATGATTGTTTGAATAAACCATATTTGGAAAATTTTCTTTTGTTTTTCATTCGCTACGTAGTCTCTTCGAACTACCTTTATGCAGCAGCAATTAGTGGCCAATTTTGGGTTTTAAGCATGAAGCAATAGTACCTACAGTTCTGATGGGGAGGGGTATCGAATCTCGAATCCCCCGAACCTCACAGTTGTAGAGCATCGGAGCGTGAAATCCAAATATTTGACGATTGAAACTTCATGGGGTCTCAGAACTTTTTTTCTTTAATTTGTCCCCTGCTCGAAGCGAGACGAATGAACATCTTCCTCCACAATCTTCACATCCATTTTGTTTCTTTTATTGTTACCTATTATTAGTCGTAACCCTTTGGAATACTGTACCTCGATACGCCTTTGGGCTGGTCACTTTGTCGATAAAAAGTAACTCAGTGCCCATGTTGCTCTATCCATGTGCGATTTTGATTCATTTTGCGTACTTTTAATCCTATTTTTCCTTCATGGGAGAGTAACAAAGCTTCAATTTCTTCTTATTTTTCCTTCACCGGTGTATTGCAGTGTGTCATCATCCTTACGTTCTTTTTGTTACCCTTCCTTCGTAAGAGCGTAACAAACAATTATTCGTTTATTCACGCAATTTCAAATTGAAGCCTTCAATATTTCTTAATTCCTTAATGAGATCTTATGCTTTTTATGATATCAGTCTTGCAATTTAGCTCTTTTCGAATGTTAGAGTAATTTCCTGGTCCTATAGCAGTTCCTAACATCCGATTTCTGTGATCTTTTTTCCCTCTTTTTGTATGCTAATCAGTCTCTCACAATGCCTTTCACTGAATAGCTGGCTGAGCATGCAAACAGAACTCCGTGCCAAATCTGTGACGCAGCGGCCGTTTATTGGCTGCAGTTGTTGTAATCCATATTCATTAGAAGTTGTACAATTTTCAGCAAACAACGCTGCTCGTCGTACAGTGAAGACGTGCTTAAATTTTGGTTATGCAAAACACAACGTTGCACTATGGAAGGAAGACACTGGACCGGTAAAAAAGAGAAATGAAAGCACTCTTATGTTACTACAACAGCAGGTGAGCATTGTCTTTGGAAAATGTCGCCTTGAGCTCATTAAGAGATGTAAACCAGTCGTATTATCTTAGTTCAGCACGAATCAGTTGCCCGGTCTGAGTGGCTCTTCGACTCGAAATTCGACCGAAATAGGGTATCGGCAGAAATTTATAATTGTAAAATATTGTTGGTGAAACGCTCATATAAAAATGTTTTGCTTACTAAATCTATTGGGGACTTAACATGATCATTTTGTATTTGGATGCAGCCACGTGGAAGTGTGAAGACTCTTCTACTCAGTGTCCTTTGCTTTAACTATAAATAACATTTAAAAAAAGTTTAGATGTTTTCCCTTTGTTACAATTGTGGCAAATAGTAAAATAATTTTAAAGAATTTTGTTTTTTAGTTTTCGTCCTCAAAGAAAGTAGGCATTCCCTGATCACATTCATATTTTCTTCTTTCACAGGAAGAGCAATGTTGTTAGAAGGCTGGAAGAACGAAGATTTTAGTCAAGAGATGACACTGGAATCAAAGAATTTTACGTGGATTCTGCAAAGATAAGAACTTTTAAACTATTCAGTAATACTAGCAAAAATGGAGGCTTTTTGTGTTTAACTATTTTACTAAATCTACGTTCTTTCACCAATTGTCCTAGAATCATGAATAAATGTTTAGTGAATAGTTCTCAATTAGCTACCATTTTTGGGATAGTTTATCGTGTTACGGACTGCCATGCACACCCTGAGAGATCATTTCATTTATGTGAAGTGCCAGCTATAATTTGGTGTAATTTCGCTCCAAAAATCTGAAACAATCTTCGAATTTAAGACAGAAACAACTAGAAACCGATATAATCCTGGCCACGAAAAACTGACATTTGAATTCTTATTTCAAGGCTCTGATCGCTCATTGTTTCTGGTTTGTCTAACAGTCAGTATCACACTTACACCCAAGTTAAAGTCACACAGAGAAGGTATTAAGGTGGCACTGTAACAAAATTCTTCGGCCAAACAAAGACCAACTGGAATTCAAAATTACAATTTTAAGATGAGTTTGATTGATTTTGCGTATTTCCTTTGCCTCAAAAATCACATTGCTGAACACTATCAGATTACAATTTCCTCAAAGACAGACTTGAGAAAGCTCGTTGTCAGGTTGGAAAGGACACTTCAAAACAAAAGTTGGCTGAAAACATGGATTCAACAGCGAACTCATTTTTGGCATGAACTGTAATTAACTGAAAATTTTGGAACTTTATTTAGAAAAAAGTAAGGAGTTTTTCCAAACACGAAGTATTTAGCACAGTGCCACCTTAAATTACATCCGTTACTTTGTGACTTCATCTAAGTTTAGTGAACGTTTGGAAGTTATATGTATTTTAACACTAATGCCTGGTCACGAGTACTTTCGAGAAGCTGATTAAGCTGAAATTCAGCTTTATATGAACCAGTTGAGATTAGCTCCTTTTCAAGACAGAGAAATATAAATTTTCATATTTCGATAATAGTTTATTCAATAGAAATTAAGATGCTGTATTATTTCGCAAAAAGTTAAGAAATAGTTTATAGATTGGATGAAAATAAACGTGAACATACAAGCCAATCGTTTGACCAGTAAACAATAACTAAGGAAATCACAATCGTATTTACTCATCACGATTTCAAACTTTGATAAAACACAATAATTTTCCAGACAAACGTTGGAATCAGAAATGCAAATCAAACAAAATAAGAGAATTTGATAGTTAACCAAATCAAAATGCTTTCATAAATAAATGACGATTTCAGTGGAAACTCGAGGAGTTATAAAAATATATATTTTTTGTTTTCAAATTGAAATTTTCACAGAAAACAGTTTGATTTTACGAAAACGAAGCGTGAGCCAAAATGCAAAGAGTTCGTTGCCATTTTGCTGTTTATACAAAGTTTCTTCTTTGGTACAAATTTTTTACGTAGTCCACGTTTACAAAACTTGTGAATTAAAGACTCGTTCAAAGATAGGATCACTTACTACCCTTTGGAAACCAGGCACTTGGTTTTAAAATATATCATAATTTATTTACTTCTCAATGTAAGTGGAAAGAAGACTGTTTGTGCAGTCATTCGATGTAACACAGGAATACATAAAAGAAAAAGTGATCAACAAAACTATGATATTTTGATCGTCAAATTCAGTTTACAATTACAATAAAAACAGGAATTGAACGTTTAAAAGGACTAAATCTCCCAGGAAAATTAACCCCAGGAATTCATAAAAAATAGCTTGGGGCCTAAATTTAATTCTGGCCAAATAGAACTCGAAGAGTCTGCTCCAACAATTACATTTCTCAAATCACTTGTCGAATCTCGGAACATAATTATTAAAATATCCTAGCCTATAGGGCTAAAACCAAATTTAAAGAGTACGCTCCAACTTCATAACTTG